AGGGATTTCTCTGCGTAAGAATTGTTATCTCTAGTTTTAGACCACAAGACCAAGGCACAGGGAAGTTAATGTGCTTGCCAAGGGTCCGCAGCCAGCTCTGGCCACGTCAGAGCAGCTCTGCTGTATCCCATTTGCCATATCAGCTTCTACACTTTCCCTGCACTGCACTGGTCTGGCCTGTCCTCCCCAGAGAAGTCCAGCTATCGATCCCACGCAACCGCCAGTCTTACCTGTGTGCCTGTGGTGGACCTGTCCATCCACCCATCGCTTATCCACTCACCGAGCCATCTAGCTATCTCTCCATCCTCCCATCCAACCATCCTTCCATGTACTCCTTCATCTGTCCATCTGCTCATCTACCCATCCACCCTCTGACCATCCGTTTACTCATTCACTCACCGCTCTCACACCAGGCCCGGCCCACGCTAAGGGCTGGCTTTTGAAGACGATCAGACCCAGCCCTGCCCTGAAAAAGTGCAATCAATGATGGAGGGGGACACCTGATCCCAGAGCCGGACCCACCGCCATAAGCTCCGTGCACAAGGCCCGTGTAGGGTCTGCCCGCACGGGAGGGGCCCTGTGCCGGCTCTGCAGGCAGGCAGTCGGGGAAGGCTTCCCAGGGGAAGTGGCGCTGTTCACTTATTCACGCCCCAAATGTTTCCTGGGAAAGTCTCGTGCTGGGAACTGCTTGATGTTTTGGAGACAGCAGGGAATAAAACGGACAAAATTCCCTTTCCTCATGGCGCTTCCATTCTCATGAGCAGAAATGGACAAGAAATACTCCGAACGTGATATATAACATGTCCGGTGATGCTAAATTTTAAGAAGGGAAGTTATCTGAGTAAAGTAACCGAGTTTGCAGGTGGAGTAAAGTGATCTTTGACAAAGGATGGTCAAGGGAGGCCTCTGACCGGGTGCATTGGAACAGAGACCTGAACCCAAGGAGGTAGGGACTGGGGTGCACTTGGGGTGCTCAAGGAAGTGGCGGAGAAGTCACGAGGCTGGAGTGAAGTGGGGGGTAGAAGGAGAAGGCAGAGAGATCCTGGGGGACCCACTCATGTAGACGGGCAAGAGGGGAGCCCGGAGATGGCTGGGGGGCTGCGGGCCACATCCAGGCAGGGGTGGCGGCGGTAGGGGGAGAGGTGGGTGGGAAGCCATCGAAGTCTGAATATACTTTAAGATCTTGCAGCCGGTGGATTCGAGGTAGAGGATGAGAGAAGAGGGGGAGAGCGGAGGAAGGCTCTTGGGTGTGAGACTGGAGCCCTGGCAGAGCAGAGACGGTCAGTTACTCAGCCAGGGCTGCCGGCAGGGAAGGCTGAAGGAAGCGAGGAGCTGTGTTTAGACAAGTTGCGTTTGCGATGGCTTTGAGACTTCCAAGGGGAAGGGTTGAGCAGGCAGTCGGATGGATGAGTCTGGGAGGCAGCGTGCGTCCCGACTGGAGATACATGTGTGGTAGCTGTCGTGTATGGGTGCTGTTGCGGGAGGGAGTGGAGCTAGAGCAGACCACAGCCTGAGTCTGTGTCACTGTCACCGGGCACCCAGCCCCTAGAGCAGCGGTTCTCAACCTGTGGGTCGACACCCCTTTGGCGGTTGAACGACCCTTTCAGAGGGGTCGCCTAAGACCATCCTGCATATCAGATATTTACATGACGATTCATAACAGTAGCAATGTTACAGTTATGAAGTAGCAACGAAAATAATTTTATGGTTGGGTCACAACATGAGGAACTGTATTTAAAGAGCCAGAAGGTTGAGAACCACTGCCCTAGAGGGAGGGAAGGGGGGCGGGGGCAGTAAGCAGATGGAGAAGGTGTAGCCAGGGAGGGAGGAAGACTGAGACAGTGGGCTCTTCATGGATGGGGAAGATTTTGCTGGCAAATAGGGAAAGGACGCCTCAGGCAGAGGGAACAGCATTAACAGGCTCAGAGGCCTCAGTAAAATGAGCCATGTGTGGAGAGAGGTGGTAGAGAGGGAGAAGGGACCAGAGCAGCTTCCCCCTCCACACCTGGCCACACAGGGGCCCAGGCCCATGGGTGTCTGGCTGGGCTGTGGGTTTGCCCATGTGCGGGACCCTCCCTGTCACTCTGGCGGGCATTCCTTGGGCTTAGCCGAACCTCTTGCCCTGATGTCTGCATACTTTGCACTTTCTTTTAAGAAGCTTCCCCTCCCTCTCCTGACCTCCTCCCTCCCCTCTGGGGCTCTTGGGCCCCTGAGGCCTCCCCCTTGCCTGGAGTCTGAAAACACTGGCTCTAGAGGTGGCTGCCTGTAGGGGAAGGGCACCCAGCACCTCCCTATTGGACCCCTAAGCATTGTCTGGATCCTTTATCTTAAAAGAAACGGTAGAAACTTTCTGTACTGTGAGTGCCCGGCAGAGCTGCTGCTGACGCTCAGCAGTTGGAGCTGCCGAGCGCTCTGCCTTGGGCGGGCAGGTGTGTGCGTTTGGGGGTCGGGGGAAGGCATCCACCTTGTGCGTCTGCTGTGTTTCTCACCTAGCACTCAGCTCTCAGTGGAGAGAGGAGCCCGGCTTGTTCAGGGAGGCTGCGGGGAGGCCCCTGTCCCTGAACCAGCCTTGAGGATAGGATGGGCGAGTGCTCAGCGTGGAGCTCCAGGTGGGATGAGGGTGGGGAGGAGCACACCACACCGCCGGGGGTTTGCAGGGGCACGGACCAGCCCAGAGGCTGATGGGACTGGAGTGAGGGGGAGGCTCGGGAGACTTCTCCACACCCACACCGAGACTAGGAGGGAGCCCAGCAGGGACTTTGTGACCCCTGAGTCCCTCAGGGACAGCTGCCTCTGGCTGCTTCGGGGACTGGGGGCGCTGAGGGAAGCTGCTCGGAGGATGCGTGCTCCATGGCAGGCTGCCCTGTAATCTCATTAGTGTGCTCCGCGGATGGGACAAGAATGTGCCGTAGACTCACTTTTCTTTAAGCCTGCCCCCACCAATAGCTCCCTAAGTCCTCCCCCTGCCTGTGAGACGTTGAGCAGGAGTGGACTTATCCCCACTGAACAGATGGGTAAATCAGGGCCAGAGAGGAAGAAGCTCGCATGACGCCAGGGCTAATTAGTGGGGGGGGGTGGGGGGGGTGGAGCTGTGAACTGGGTCCCTCTGAATCCTAAGCACTCTTGCCCGCTGCCCTCTGCCCTCTCCCGGGCTCTTCTGCAGTATCCGGCCTGCGGGCACCTTCGCGTAAAGCAGCTCTCCAGCTTCCTCATTTTGCAGATGAGGAAACAGAGGGCCAGAGAAGGTCAGACACTTGGCCATGGCCACACAGCAAGTCAAGGGCAGAACCTCCACCAGAATCGGGTCTGGCTTACTGTGTCCACCCACCCCCTCCGACCTGGACCCCGCCCGCTTCCTCTTGGGGCACCCACTGCCTTCTGTTCCCCCCTGGCCTTTGGCATTCGCTCAGATTGAAGGCACGGAGTTCCTCCTCTGAAGGCTCCATTGTGCCTATTGTTTAAATATAGATTACTAATGAAATGCCTTTTCATTGCCTTCCCCGTGAATACTTTCCGTGTAAAGTTAATTTGCAGTGTTATGTAAATTCTGTTTAACTTCAATCAAGTTTCTAATTATGTTTTTACCGCAGTAATTCCCATTTGATTTGTCATCTCCTGTTAGGTATTTAATGTTCGGTGGGCGGCTGTGCTTTCTCTCTGTCTCTCCCGGTACCAAGGCCCTCTCCTGCCCTGACCGCCCTCTGCCTGTCTTTCTCCTTCGCTCCTGCTCACTTCATCCTCTGGCCCTTCCCTGTGGGTCACCTCCCTCCCCCCCTCCTTCCTTCCTTCCCTTCTTCCTCTCGCCCAGCTGCCCCTTCTTCCCTTCTGTTCGCCTCTGTTCTCTCTGGCTTTGTTTTCCCTGCCCCTCTCCTTCCTCCCTCTTTCTCAGTGTTGTTTCTCCTGTCTTCTCTCCCCATTTCTCTGTCACTCCTCTCTCTCACTCTTACTCCGATTTTCCTCCACTATCTCCCACCGCACCCTGGCTCTCTCTTTCTCTCTCTGTCCTTGTTTGTACCCCCGCGGTCTCCCCTTCCCCGCATTTTCTTCTCCTTTATGTCTCCGCCTCTTCCTCTTCCATCCTAGAGCCCTTCACAAAGCCACGTGCCAGGGCTGCTCCGAGTGGTGGGACAGACGGAGGAGGAGGTGGGGCTGGCTGGTGTGCGTCCCTGGAGAGTGAGGGCCTGGCCCTGGGTACCTGCTTAGAGCTCTGTGCCCAGCCCTGGCCGGGTGCCAGCCTCCGGTACGCCGGGACCTGGTAGGAACATGAGCGCCAGGGCTGGACGCTCTGGTGCAGCTCCTGATCCA